TACATTTTGGTTGTCCTCACCTGTGTTCTCCTTCGCTACATTTTGGTGTCGCTGCCAGGATGAAGATACCGTGGCCGAAGGAGTTCGAGGCCGTGGCGGAGCTAACCGGATGGAAGCAGGAGAAGACGGTGGCTTTGGGATTGCTGCTCCGCGGCCGAGCGAAGGCGGTGTATGACAGCCTGGATGGCAAGGTGAAGACATGGAAGGCGGTCACGGATCGGCAAGAGGCGCTTCAGAAATTCAGGACGGTGAAGTTATCGGCGGATGGAGACCCACTGGTGCTGGCAGTCTAGTTGACCAAGCTGTTATATCGCGCGCTTCCGAGTTTGGATGAGGAATCTGAAGCTCAGCTGTTGGCATCGCAGTTAATCGAGATTGTTCCGGACGCCATTTCCCAGAAGCTGACGTTGGTCAACGCCGCACATCCGATGCGTATAAATGAGTTGGCGAAAGTGACTCGACAGCTAATGACGCAAACAGCAGCTTCGGTGGCGTGCGCGAGTCCAGAGAAAGATGATCTCGAGAAGAAAATTGCTGAGCTGCAGCGTGAGATTGCCGCAATAAGAGTAACCGACAGCAGGAATAATAAATGTTACGCTTGTGGAAGGACAGGACATTGGAGGAGAAACTGTCTCACAAGGCGAAGATACAAGTATGTGAAAAGGTTTCGTTCGGGTTTTACCTGTTCGAGGAATCTGGATGTTGTCGCGTTAGTCGATAGAGGAGCGCTTTACGCCAGAGTAAGCATTAACGAACGCGAGTTAGTATGTCTGATTGATACAGGGGCAGCAATATCATTGATAAGCCGAGAGCTATGTCAGAGAGTCGTGCCATGTACATTGAAAGTTCAAACCGTAGGGGGAAACCGGTTACAGGTTTTGGGCACGTCTAACAGTAAGGTAAAGGTAGGAAGTGCGGAGATAATTTTCCAGTTTGTAGTGACAAACGGCTTACCGAGACCAATATTAGGAGCAGATTTCCTGAGAGAAGTAAAAGCGATAATCGACTTACGGAATGGTAAGATAATCACTAAGTATGGAGCATTCCCGATACATGAGATTAGTAAAGTGGCAGAGATAAGGGTAGCACCAGACAGGTCGGAAAAGAAACCAAATATTCACGAGTTGTGTGCGAAGTACGGGAAACTGTTCAAGGGAGACGGAGAACCGTACGGATTTTGCGATAAAGTCAAGCACGAAATTCCACTGAAGAACGAGCAAGTAACCATATTTACAACACGTCGCGTGCCTGTATATTTGGAGGCGGAGATAAAAAGACAGGTACAAGAGATGTTGAAAGAGGGCATAATTGAAGAAGCAGACAGCCCATATAGCTCGCCAGTGCTCTTGGTGAAGAATCCGAACGGAAAACAAAGATTTTGTGTAGACTTCAGAGAAATTAATAACATAAGTGAAATAAAACCATGTGTAATGCCCACAGTGGGGGAGACCTTGAATCGGCTGCAGAACGCCACACTGTACGATCAGGGTATTGGCAACTGCCGATAAAAGAGAGTGATCAAAATAAAACAGCATTTACTGTACGTGATAAGCAGTACCAGTTCAGACGAATGCCATTCGGGTTGGCAGGTGCGCCATTTACATTCAGAAGATTAATGATGCTGCTGCTCAAGAACCTAGAAAATGTTGAGGTGTATGGCGACGATGTAGTGGTGTACAGCCGAACAGGAGCGGATCATGTTAACCATGTGGAAGCTGTCCTAAAGCGGATTGAAGAAATCGGACTACGAATTAATAAGGAAAAATCACAAATAAAAACTGGAAATGGAGAAATAAAACCGTTGCCGGAGAAAATCCTAGCCATAAAGAACATAGCGGCACCTAATTCCAAAAGGAAGCTGAGACAGTTTCTTGGAAGGGCGGCGTTCTACAGTCGATTCGTCAAGAACTTTGACGAAGAAGCGGCACCCCTCTATAAGTTGTTAAGCGACACTAAGTTTACGTGGACATAGACTACCCAGCAAACGTTCGACCGTATCAAAAACCTATTGGACGACCGCCGGATAAAGCTACGATTACCTGAACCTGAAAAACTGTTTACAGTGACAACAGATGCGAGTGACCAAGGAATAGGCGCCGTCTTAAGTCAATCTAACGGTGTGGTAGAATATGCGAGTCGCGTTCTCACACCCTCTGAGCAGAAGTATTCAACAATCGAAAAAGAGTGTTTAGCGATTGTCTGGGCAATAGAAAAATGGAGGCCATACCTGCTATGTAGGCGGTTCCACGTCGAGACTGATCATAAACCCCTGAAGTGGCTGAAAACAGCAAAAGACCCCCGTGGTAAGTTGGCGCGATGGATGATACGTCTGCAGGAGTACGACTTCAGTATCAGCCACGTTCCAGGAAGAGAAAACTTGGTGGCGGACTACTTATCGAGGCCGTGAATGGATGCTGAGCTCCCAATGACAGCATACGCAGTCAATAGCCTTGACGGAGACCTACTAGAACTCGTCCGGCAGCAAAAGGCTGACCCTAACCTTCGAGAGGTGATCAGAGTGATAAAAGAAGGGGCAGATATTGACGAACGGCAGATGAACAACGAGGTATTATTGCTGCTTCGACAAAAGGAGAGACTGAGGATCAGCACATATGGAGCCCTGACCTGGCGAGATGATGATGAAAATTGGGTGGCAGTGATCCCAAAGAACATGCGGCATAAGATGATACAGGAGTGTCACCAGGTAGCTCATACAGGTATCATACGAACGACTGATCTAGTAAGACAAAGTGCATATTGGCCAGGCATGAGAGATGATGTGGCACAATATGTATTGACTTGCCAGCGGTGCCAACTAATGAAAAGTAACCGATACATACACCCGCCATCGCAGTCAGTTCCCGTAACTGCAGTTGGTGATCTATGGTCAGTGGATGTGATGGGACCGTTCCCGCAGACGGCCAGCGGCAATCAATACCTGGTGGTGATGACAGAACATGCCACACGGTGGGTAGACGCCGTACCGATTCCAGATCAGCGGGCAAAAACAGTGACGGAAGTAGTCATCCGGCACATTGTGGCATGTCACGGAATACCGAAAACAATATTAACTGATCAGGGTCCCTGTTTAGAAAGTGACGAGTTTAAGTCCCGTCTGGAACAGTTCGGTATCAAGAGAATACGAACTACACCATATCATCCACAGACTAACGGGCTAACAGAAAGAAACAACCGGACGTTAAAGGAATGGTTAACCTCTAAAGGAGGGAATTGGGAGAAGGAATTACCACTAATGTTGCTGGCGCATCGTTCCTCAATACAAGGAACAACCAAGAAATCACCTTTCCTGCTTATGTATGGGAGACATCCGCGACTTCCAATCAACAATAAGACATGGCCGCAACAACATAAGTGGACGGCAACAAGGTTAAAGAAGGAGAGGAGGGAGGCAGTCAGCAATATAAAGAAGAAACAGATGTCGCACACAACTACAGAACAGCAGAGTAGGCAGTGGAAGCCGTTTAAAGTCGGGGACCTGGTAAAATGTAGAGAACGGAAAGGCACCGTAGCATGGGGACAAGGATCAGGGAAGCTGCTCCCGAAATGGGAAGGACCGTACATTGTTATTGAGAGACGTGGCTCTGTTTACACGATACGGAATGGAGACAACCAAAAACGCATGAATGCCAGTCAAGTGCAGAGGTGGTTTCAAGATTTTCAAGCGTGTGAGTCACGGAAAGCACCAAAGAAGACAGCAATACGGCGATCAGAAAGACTACGACGACAGCTTATTAAAAGGGGGGACGAGTGTGGTGCGCGCTACTTATAAGTAGTATATGACGTGAGCGCCAACGTAATGTCTGGCAGCAGAAGATGGGGGAAGATCAAGAAAAGAAGAGTGGGAACACAATGGAATTTGTATGAAATGCATGAATAAGTGAAATGTCAGACAATGGATTGATGATTGATTGAAGATTTGCAAATTAACCGTTTACGATATGGTTTTTCTATTTTACTGAGTAACTCTGTAATTTTCGCTAAATACATTTTGGTTGTCCTCACCTGTGTTCTCCTTCAATACACTACTACTGAAAACATCATGTATTTTTGTAGTTATTATACAAAGTACAAAAATATTTGCTTGTGCTAAAAACTGACCATTTACGGACAAACCATATTATGAAGCTAAACATTTAGAATATTGACATACAAATCTTTTCGAAAAAGTAAAAGTTCCTGTTGGATTGAGTTTAAATTTTTAAACGCACAGTAAGATAGAAAAATATCTATGCATAATAGACAACAAATAAAAATTTTTCATCCGAAGATAAACATAGAAATTCCTTTTCAAAACAATTATTGTTTTTATTCCACTCTTTCGTTTAAGTCTATTCATTTATCATATTTAACATTTATAAATTTGACTAATTCGTCTATTTCGAATCCCTTTTATCCAACAGTCTTCCTCCTTTTTTATGCCATCGACAACAAAAAATGTAACTAGTTGCAATTTTTTAAAACATTGAAAAGACAAAAATCATTTTCAGTGTATGATAAAAAATAACAGTTGATGGAAGTTTCTAAATAAAACTACTGTATTAAACAGCTGAAAGTGTTTGATTTTCTGTTTCATTACATGTTGAATGCTTAATCAAAAAGTCGGATTTACGTTAGATAATTTGTAAAATATAAGCAATAAATTATGTGATCTGAAGAATAATTCTGAGATGAAAGCGCCAAATTGTCTTCGTACAAAGTGAAGAGTTGCATTAGAATCGGCTGCGTCCCGATATAGTTTTAACTGGCGTGAACGCTTTCGGTGGTTATTAAACCGAGATCACGCTCTGAGTAGACATTAGGAAGCGGCCTTCCGTTAAGGCTGTAAATCGTTTGCGTCATGCGGGGCAAAATGTACATGTTATAATATATTACACATGATCGTTAGCTTTATTGTTGTGAATGTGAATACATTAAATTCACAATCCACATAAAAATAACATTAAAATTAGGTAGCTGATTTGTAACAAATGAAACAAATCCTGTGGTTGATATTTTCTCTAGCCGACAAGGTTCTCGATGACAATTCAAACAAGTGTTTCATCTGCTCCTGCCAATAACACAAATGATTTCAGTATCAGAATGCGTTTCAAAGTTGGTCTTTTCTCTCAACTCCCAACTCCTGCAAATGGTGCCAGTTTACCATTCAGAATGGAGGCATTGTTGACTCCAAGGATTACTGTCAATCTCTCCATGATCGTGTCTTCAAACTGTCCGATCCAAAATGATGCAGTTACTTTTGTAAGGTGTCCATCGATAGTGGATTATGGTGGTTTTTACGAATATTCCGTGGATTTCTTCATAAGTAGACCCATTGGAGATTATACGGTGAGTCATATAACAGGATAAAACACGTATTATTCGAGTAACTTATCTAATGTCCGTTAATTCTATGGACCGCCATCAACTTATCAGTCAAATTTCGATCACCGATCTTCTCATCCTGGCTCTTGAATAAACTAATTAATCTTTTCTCCTCGGATTGTTTTTCACGCGTCTTCTGACCCTGTCTATTATAAGTATGAAATAAATTCATCCACATGAAACCGTATCGGACTTTTAATAACTGCCGCTGCACAAATGATGTTCGCCTAAAAATGATATATGGAAAGTGAAGGAATTCTTTTATAAGTTTATTGAAATGTTCGTAAAAACTGAGTCACTGAAACCCTAATGTCTGTCTCAACACACATCTTTGTATTGTTATCATGATTAGTGAGTACACTTAGTTGAATGGCTTGTTATTACATTAGCTTTGTTGCTTGTTCGAATGTGAAACAAGTTAATTATTTTACGATTACAATCTAGTCGAAGAAAGGTGTTGAGATATTCCAGCAACAGCTTCATTCAAACCGTCTAAATAATTACTTCTGACTGGACGAGCTCACGAAATTTTATGAAGAATAATGGACTAATAATAAGGTCTACTCTGTATCACTTGATCGTTATACCTAAAGTAATATCTGGTGCTTAAACACAGAATATTATATTGCTCTAAACATCAAGTAAACTTACCTGTCAGACTTCTTTGTGAAATATTATTCATTGTAGAATGCTCGTTTTTATCCTTTGAATACCTTGTACACAGTTAAACTTATCAGTGTCTTAAACTAATTTGTTTTACAGTTCTCCTTCAGTACTGATGAATTTAGTGCCTCTATCGGTAATATGTTTCTGTCGCTGCCTCCAACATTTGCTGTTTTTCCAGAAAGTTACAGAACGAACACAGAAGAAAAGGTGACCTGGTCCGCCGTGTTAACGACATACCGGTACTTAAGCGTTACAAATCTACAGAACCTAGGTAAGTTCACTTCGAATGTGTTGTCAAAACAGGTGCCCTGACTTGTTTTCCTCGTACTCCTATTGATTAGAACTAGTTATCTCCAGTTCTGATATAAATGAACTGGTTTTAATAGAATCCAACCATAATTTATTCGACTACATTCTGATTACTTTCGACTTTCGAAGAGAATAAAATCTGTGAAATATTGATATATTTACAGTGTGTGTTTGGAGACGAAATATGTAGTCATTCAAAGATTAGTAGATGAATTTTTCATTTTGTATTATGTCGATTTCTGCGAAATCCCCTTTATATACTTTAACAAAACAACCAATGTTATTTCCCAGGCGCACTACTAATGGACTTCTGCATTTCCAATAACAGTAATTTTTATCAGGTATATGTTCTGTTGACAATCATGTTTTCGTCATTCATACATTTTGAAAATTGTTGCTCCGTTCATATTTTCATAAATGAATTCATTTTTTTCATTATCTCAAAACTTATGTCTACCGACACGATAACTGTGGATCAATCGTTATTGATCTTCGACATTCGCTCATGCAAACGAAACCTTCCCGGTCATTATTGATGAACATGGCTAAGCCGATTGTATATTCTACTTCATTGTAAACTATCTAGTTACTTTATTCCAGAGATGTTTATTGTCATCACCGGTGTTGTTGTCCTATTCAGGTGATATACTGCACATGTAATATCAGTCCAATGTCTAAATGGTCTCTGATGTTACGAGTGGTGAGCAGAGAGATACATCTAGACCAACCACGTGAAATTTTTTGTAGCCTGTCTACAGAACCTCAAGCTTCTTTTAAGAAAACACGCTCTATTATAATCTACCGTTGAACTAAAACCTTACCGATTTATCATTTCGTAGAGCATATTTAAAGTCTTGTCGCTGAAAAGTGCACCTGATGTCTTCAGTTACGACTAACTCTCTATCATGTAGTGAGATCAAAAGGAAAGTACTGAAATTCAGAGAGAACTAAGTGCTATGTAAAATGTGTACCATACTTTCATGCGGTTTCACTCAAGTTCCGAAATTCCAAATACGGATTACATGTGAAGCTTTCTGAGGTGGGCATTGAATTGCAATTGTTTTGAGCATAACATCCAATCAGGTAAGTATACCGAAATGTCGACACCTCGCACGGATTCCACGAGATAAGACAGGTTGTTGTTATCACCTTTGTTAGACCGTGTAGAAGAGTTGTTGAAACGTGGAATATTTCCTATCATACTGACAGTTTGTGATCCATAACTTCAGTGTTACTCTATTATGTACCATTCTAAATTCACTTTAAAATTCTTTCTAGGCGTTTATGATACCAGTTTACCAATAGCTAACCGCTCAGTTCGCCTAACAGTTTACATTGCTATTTATACAACAAGCCTATCAGTAGTGAAGTTTGTAGCCAGAGTTTCACCAACTGGACAAAACTCGACAATGAATGTTTGTGAAAGTAGTTTCTCGAAATATACAAATTTTAACTCGGTAAGTTAGAACAAATTTTTTAATATTCGCAAAACTCGAACTAATTTGCCTTCTTTCATTATGCAGCATTTAAGAAACCTGATTTCAGTAAGAGATACTCCAGTTTTCAACCGACCTGAAACGATTCAATATTTCACAGTGCAGCTGATCATTACACCGAGCACAACAGGGTCGTATGTTCTTGTAACGCAATTCCAAGGTAAAATGTTAGGAGAAAACTGCTACGTGGATTATCTGCTACCAGTTGCTAATGGAGTAAGAAAAGTAAGTCTGATAGAATACATGTCTATGAACATTTTTGAAATTCCCTATAACTGCAGTAATTAACAATTAGAATAAACATTATGAAACAGAAGTGGAATTTACCTCTGTAAACTGCCAAACTGCTCTCACTTGTTAAACAATGATTGTGTGCTACTGAGGTTTAAGATCCTTGTTGTGATAATCGAATGGATTTGTGATGATTGTAAATGTCAAATCGAGAATCGGATCGGTCCTAAAATGACTAGGTAATTTTGAATTTAGTAGTACAAGATATCAGTGAGTGAAAACAAATATAAAAGTAGTGTATGGTTAGCCATTTACATCAAAATAGCAAGCTTGATAGTCTAGTCTTCATTTCACAGCGTGATTTTGTATTTGAGGACTAACTACGAACATCAGTTCGTTTCTTCCTTCGTTTGGTTTTGAAAACTAATTTTTCTCGTTTTATGACCATAAAATGAAAGTGCTCTTCACTATTATTTGCATTTGAATACATTTCAACATTGAAGATTAGATTGATAACAGATTTCGGTTACAGTTCCAAGGGAAGAACATCAGCCACAACGTACATCGGCACATTTGTAAATACCAATACATTCAATCTTACTTACAATTTTCAAGTCGGGATAAAGTTAAACTATGACACAACTTATGTCCTGGGTGACGTGGTTCGATTAGATTTTGTATTGTCTGTACCGTTCGCAACTGTTTATACACAAAGTGCAACATTTCCAATAGCCTCCATGGTGCAGCCAACATCGACCGTTCCTGTAAGTTAGTACAATTGATTTCTCGGTTTATTTGTAGCATGAATTGTGGCTTCATTTGATTTTGTTAGTTAGAGACTTTATTAGAAATATTTATCAGTACTTGGCGAATGACAAACATAGAACTATACATCAACAGTGTGAGTGATCGATTCACTTGCCTATTCAAATTCTGTGTGATAAAAATGAGTGTCGGTGAGCAAAATGAGTTATTTCGAAGTTAAAATATCAGAAAATCAATAATATTCCACTCACTGATCCCACACGCCAACCAAAGAGATCTGCGAATTTCATTCATCCATTGACCGCAGAATAGATTGAATCAATAGATAACTAGACGAAAAAATGAGAACCAGTAAAATGTGATGTTTAGATTATGTGATCAATATTTCATTGTGCATTTTCACTGACTGACAGTCTGGATAATCAATGGTGGTTTAGGAAAAGATAATATTTTCTTGCTGAAATAATGTTCGTGAAACAAATAAATCAAAATCAGTAACACAATTCACAGAGTAAACAGACTGATAACACTTAAACCAGACGTTTCCAATTACTCACTCACTCAACTTTGTGCAGCCTCTAATCACAATTGAAGATATTCGGAAAGGAAAGTGGGAAATAATGTACACAATTTTGTGTTGTTAGAACATGAATTATCATCAGGAGGAATAGCAGTGATTTTCACTCAACTACTAGACCAAGTTAATACATGGTAGTATTCGTAAAATGATTTCCTATATCCACTCACTGGATTTCCTTTTATCCACCTCCGACGTACTCATTTAACAAAATTATTTATTCTCAAATATTTCTGCTCTGAAATTTGATTGCTGAAATCAAATCGAGTAAGTTCTGTGAAGTATTTCAGATACATTAGTATCCTTGATTATCAGATTCATACCAGGGGGTAGATTGCCACTCGTTAGTGAAAGTGATGACTCATTTATTTAGTTAACTCTATTGTGTAATAATGAAAGCTAGATTATGATCTCCTTAGTTTCTGAAAACTTGCTGATCACGACCATTGGTAATAGCTCACATCATTCAACACTTTTATATTTGCAAATCGATCATGGAATATTTCCAGTCTTCCGAATCGACAATATCTACTATTGATAATGTCAATTACATATAGGAATAGACCGGTGTTTATATTGACTGAATTTATGCCACAGTCGATCACATAAATAACATTAATGAAGTATTCTAAAACTGTGTAGTACCAATCAGTACCCGCTAAACTAACCTTCCATCACCCAGCCGCTCCCTTCATACTTACTACTTACTCATTTCACTGAATTCTTCCATTTTTGTCTTCTCTAATCATAATTAAAAATGACCAAAATCCAAGTATACTGCATAAGAGAACGAGAATGAAAGTAATCAATCTGAAAATTTTAGACCTACTAAATCAACTCACTAATATTGTTTCTAAACACTACTTTAATTCAGCTCTCCAAAACTCCATTACTTACTATCGAACGAGTTGTGCCACGAAATTCACAACCGATGGTGAACTTCACTACCATTGTGGAGGTTCGCGCAAAATTCATTCAAGATTTTGTTTACATGCCAGTAATTTTCCAGTTACAAGTCAATCCGACCGAAGCAAATATAATCAGACAAAATTTTCAAACAATTGGATACTTGATACAAACTGTGGCACCTGTATCACTTAACT